ACAATATAGAATGTGCTTAAATTTTCTTTAAAACGACAATTATGGACTCCTAAATCTCTTCTCTAGAGTTCTGGTAAGATGGTGGAATAGGCAGAAAGACTGCACAGACCCTCTTCAACAAAGAAAAGGGGAACCAATTAACACAGATATAGAAGATAATCCTGGATCCCTGAGTCTTGAAGGGAAGGATATAGAAGTGGACTAAACTCCAACTAGCAGAAGAATTTACATGAAAATACCAAAAAAGGAGACATACAGAGCTGCAGTCTGGCAGCGATCCTGACAGCACAGACAGACTGGATATTGCCAAGTAGTCGCAGGACCTAAGAATTAACCTAAAAATCAGCCCTGCTAGCCAGAGACTGCATGGAAGACTGCTCTGGTGGCTGGGGAATAAAAGGGGAGGCAGTGAAGAGAACAGCAGGCTGAGCTGTGGACTTTTGTCTGTCCAGAGGGCGCAGACATTTTGAATGTTTACAAACGGCTTGACCATTTTGGATATTTAAAGCGACAGTGTTCTCCTAGATTCCAGGGACTTAAGAACAGGTTCCACTTGCCAATAAACCCAAGGACATTCCAGACCTGTAAGACTGGAAAGGTGCGACATTCCTCGTTACTCTTATACCCCACAAACTCTTGGTGAATGGAGCTGCGGCCATCCCCAACTCCCACCCACCTTATGGTCCCACAGTAACTCCATCCCAGTCTGTGTGTTTGGACAGAGCCTAGGTGCCCTGCCCTGCCCTGATTTTTTGTTCCCTTTTTCTATTTTTTTAGTTTGCTTGTTTTTGTCTCTTTTAAAACTACTACTATTATTATTACTTTTGTCCTTTTTACTGTTATTCTTTATTCTTCCCCTCCCAGGTTCTAGTTTTCAGTTTTTTTCTTTTCTCTGTTCCTGGTTGCAATTTTCTTTTTTTTTCTTTCTTATGGTTAAACCTGTTCCTTGTTTTTCTTTTTCCATTTTTCCCATGATTTTTCTTCATTATTCTCCTTCTCTACCTTTTTTCTCTTACTGTCCTATTCCCAGATATTGCAGGGTTTTTGGTTTTTTTTTTTTCTTCTTTTTCTCTTTTTGGTTACTGTTCCTGTGTGATTACATGGCGTATTTTTTGTTCATGTGATTTTACTTTTTTGATGGTTATTCAATTGTTCTTTTTGTCTAATGGAGTAGAAGACAGCAACAGTCCCCATATGATAGAACTACATCCACACCTCCTGTAACTTCACTTACTAAGTGAGAGCCACCACTTCCTTCTCCACCAACGGGCCAACGATAAAAAAACCACCAAGATGACCCTGACTCACCCTTGGCTGCTCTTCACAAACAGTTAACAGAGATCTAAATACAACAATGCCACGATGTCTCAGAGACAACAGACCATCACAGTCCACACAAAGAAGCAAGATAAAGTAGAAACAAGGGAGCAGGATACAGACCCAGAACACATCTCTCAGGA